AAATACTACATTTTTTTTATAATCTATATATTAAAATTATATTTATATTAATCTATATGTTTATATATATATTTAGTTTTTATTATTATTATTATTTTTAATTAATATTATATTAACAATTAGTTTATAATTATTTAATTAATTTGTATTTTTATTTTTAATATATGTTTTTATTATATATTTAATATTATTATTTTTTATTATAATTTTATATTATATATTTAATATTTAAATTTTTAATTTAATATTTATCAAAAATATTTTATTTTCTTTTATATATTATTAACGTTTTAATCTATTATTTATCATTTTCAGTATTTTTTATTATAATATAAATTAATAATTATCATAATAAAATATTAATTAAATATTTGTAATATAAATTTAATAATTAGAATCTATTTTTTTTTTTATTATTTATTTAAAAATATTTATTACATATTATTTTTTAATTTAATTTTTATCTTTTTAAAAAATAAATTATTTACTTTTAAATATAATCAAATATATAAATAATAATATAAAATTGATAATAAATATTTTATAGTTTAAATATGATAAATTTATTTGTTTTTTTATTATTAAACATATTAAAAAAACTGCCTATGTTTATAATGAAAATGAAAAAACGTAAATAATTATTAAATATATTATATAATAAATCTTTCTATTTTAAGATAATTGTACTTTTATTATTTTAAATAAATAATAAAATGAAAAATACATAATAATATAAAATTACTTGAATTAAATTATAAATAATTAACGATATATTTAGAATAACGTTTATTATTATTTTTTTTTAATTTTATTTTATTTATTAAAGAAATAAAAAATATTTTAGTAAAATTATATAAATAGTCATATATATATTTTATTTATATAAAGTATGTATTATAAGATTTATATTATAATATAATTTTTAATTTATTATTTTATTTTTTTAAATTAATTTAATACAGATATCATCTATATATATCCATAAAATTATAAATATCCAATATTATTTAATATAATTATTCTATATATTTTTTATTATAAAAATATACTTTCCTTTATTTTTAAAATAACGTAAAAAAAGTAAGTTTTTTTATATATCTAGTTAATTTATTTAATTTTGTATTAAAATAAAATATAGTATGTTAATTCACAGAATAATAAAAAATAGAAATTAAATTAATAAGGAAAGTATAAAAAAGGATAAAAAGAAAATTAAAAATAAAAAAACAAAAAACATAAAATGGAAACTTAAATATAACCTATTGAATCATTATTAAATATACAAAAATAACCTTCAAGCGATAATAAATAAAGAGTTATCAAATAATGGACTGAAGAAGAAGATAAATTACTTATATAATTAACCTTAGAATTAGACAAAAAATGGATAAAAATAGCCGAAAGAATACCTGGCCGAAATTCCAATTAATGCTTCTGTAGATGGAGAACTATGAACTCGAATAAATTCAAGAATATATGGAGTAAAGAAGATGATATAAAAATACTTTCTTTAATCGAATAATATGGAAAAAACTGGAATAAAATAAGCAAACATTTCGAAGGGAAAAAAACTAATAAAAAAATAAGAGAAAGATATATAAATAGACTTGATCCTAATTTAAATAAAGCACCTTGGAGTAAAGAAGAAGATGATATTATTTTAAAGGCATATAAGGAACAAGGATCTAAATGGACTCTAATATCTAAATTAATATAGGGAAGATCAGAAAATATGGTAAAGAATAGATTCTACAAATATATATTGGTGAAATATAATGTAGAAATATAAAAAAATGAGAATTTATCAAAGACTATTAATAAAAATGAAAACATATAAAAAAATTTGTCACCATATTCTAATAAAAATAAATCTTCTTTTGAATTAAATCTTCTTGAGGAAAATAAATAAACGAAAGTTTGCGAATAGAAAATGGATATAGAAGAAAAGAAAGATTACAGTGATATTTTATGCTATATAGATTAATAATAGACTATTATTAATTAAGCTTTCAAAAAAATATAAGAAGCTCTTTTAAGTAAAAAAAAGAAGAGTAATCGGAAGCTTTAACCAAAGTAAACAGTCCAGATAGCAAATAAGGACTTATAGAATAATAATAATAATAAGAAATAATTTATAAAAGATTATAATAATAGTAATTATAATAATAATAAAATAATTAATAACTATTAATATAATAATAACTAATGAATATTTAATAATAACCTTCATAATAATTATTTTGCTTAAAATAATAATAAAACGAATAAAATAGTAATATTTAAATATAATAATTATTAAAATTAAAAATTCAATAATAATAATAAAGAATTCATTAATAATAATTACATTAATAATAATTATTAAAATTAAATTTATTAAAATAATAGAATATTGCTTAATAATAGAGTTAAAATACAATTAATTAATAATAACTTCTTTCATTATCTATTCTTCAATCTTAAGGATTATGTAATTAAATGAATAATAATATATTTTATAATAATAATTTAAATTCGATTATTTAATAAAATTTCTAAGCAACTAAATTAAATATATGATTGATAAAAAAAAATATATATATATATTTTCATTAAATATATATCATTTGTATATAATTATTATATTGTTAGTTTAAATTTTATATTATATCCAATTTTAATAATCTTTATAAAATCAATTTATTCAAATAGATTTATTTTATAATTATTTTAAAAAATAATTCTTATATATATATATATATATAAATGTAGTATTATTAAATTTTATATGAAATACTTAAACACATTTTGTTTTGAAAATGACATTTCTATGATTAATTAAATTTTTATTTGTTAAAAATTTTAGTTTTTAATATTTTTATTTTATATAATATAAATAATTATTTATTAATGGAGAAAAAATAATGCATTTTTTTTAATTTATATATTATATAAAATTAGAATTTTTTTTTTAATTATATATTAATGTTAAGATAATATTAATTATATAAGATATATATTTTATATATTATTTATATCTATTTAAATTTAATTAAATTAATTTTATAAATATTATTTGACTAATAATAAATATTAATATATTAAATATTTTTTTTTATATTTTAAAATAGAAGAATTTTAATATTAAAAAGGCTAACATGTATTTCAAAATGAGTTATTTTTTTATTAAAGGAAACTTTAATTTTAATTTTTATTTATTCGATTTTTATTGCTTAACCTTAATTAATAAATTTCACAATATTATAATGTTTTTCTCATTTAATTAATATTTTATTTTTATTCTTAATATCTTTTTTTTAAAAAAACTGTTATTATTATTTGATAAAACCTTAATTCGGGAGTCCATATAGTTCACTTATATATTTATTAAACAAAAGATTTTTATATAATCAGTGTTTTGCATAAAATTTATAATTAATTTTTTTTTAGTTTGTTATAAAATTTATAAATAATAATAATAATTAAATAAAAAAACTATTTTTTTTTAGTTTGCATTAATAAATTTATAAATTCTTGAAAAAATTATAAATTTTATTAAGTTCTTTCTATCTAAAATTTATATAATATATATATATTTATTTTTTTCACAAATTATTAACAAAAGCTTTAATTCCTGCTTATGCGACATATTATTTAACTTTTTATTAATGTTCTATTTATTTAAAAAAAAAAATATTATTTAAAATTCAATTTTATTTGTTTGTTTAATAAAGAATATTAACCTCCTCTGCATTTATAATACCCATAAAAATTTGTAGCATTTAAAATTATACAAAATAAGCATAATATAATCTATTTTATAAAAATATAAAGCATATATTTTATTATAAAATTTTTAAAAATACCCAAAAGAAAGATAAAGTAATAAATTCAATAATAAAAATAACAATCCAGTATACAATAATAACAAAATTAACAAACCAAAAAAATGTTTAATCTATTTAATTTGGTTTTCTATTAGCATCCATAGATTCATAAACCCATTTTTCATCTCCAGATTCGTCATAGACACTAAACCATCTCAAACCAACTAAAATTCTACCTGTAACGTTTTTGACAGTCCAAAAATCAAAACTAGTAAAAATTATAGTAAAAACGAAATTAATAACCATATTTGAGAATAAAGTAAAACTTGTTTTTTTATCAAAAATAATATATATGTATATTTATATATATATTAATACCTTAATACAGAAAAAATTTTAAAAGATAAATGAGCTATACATACTCCTGGATTATTTGAAGATCTAATATCTAATTAATGTGCAGGTGCAGGTGCTACTTATTATTGTTACTATATTAAATAATAAAAGTAATAAATTATGTATATATGTTATACATTAATTTTTGCTTGTTCATTAATTTATATTTGCTATTAATTTATTTGTGTTTAAGGCTTCTATTCTGAATGTAGGTCGATTTGTTAAATATTTATATCTTATACGTTGGTGTAAGGAGATTAATCTTAATCTTAATTTATATTATATTATGGATTTTAAATAGGTTAATTATTTTAATCATTATTTTGATTAAAGTCTATATCAATCTAAGGATTTACGTCAAAATTAATGTGATTCTATTAAAAATTAATTTAATTATTATCTTTAGAAAAATCTTCTGAATCCTATGTTTTTATTATGTGGTAAATTATTATTATTAATTATATAGATATAATAATATTGTACCATATTTTGTTTATTTTAATTTTAAAAATAATTTAATATAAATAAATAAAATATATATCTAATTAAATAAAATATAAATAAAATTATATAAAAATATATATATATATACATATATATATATATATTTATATTTTAAATATAATTCATATAGGACATTTTATTTCTTTTATTAATACATATATATATAATTTTTTTAATATTAATTTATAAATTTTCATTATTTAATATTAAAAAATTTAATACTTAATAATATTTTTATACTTTTTTAATATTTTTTTTAAATATATCAAATATTATTTTTATATTAAAAGATAAATGTCAATTTAAGATAAATAAACAAATGTATTAGTTTGTGGATTTGCAGGAGGCTTATCCGGTATAGTAGTTGATTTTGTTATATATCCATTAGAATCAATAAAGACTTAAATATAAGTTTTTTTTTTATCAAAAATTATATAATAAAATATTATAATAGGCAACTACATAAAGAATCGACTTTAAAGAAAAAGCTGCTAAAAACCACAATTATAAAGGTTTTAGTGCCTAATTTGTTAGTTCATTTCCATTTGCATTCATTTATTTTTATACATATGAGAAATCTAAACAAATTTTATAATTAATAAATAACTTAAATAATAATGTTTAACATATGATAGCAGCTGCATTATCAGAAATATTAGCAAACATATTTAGAAGTCCTTTTGAAGTAGTAAAATAATAGTAATAAGTAGGATGGGATAAATAAATATTACATACAATAAAAAGTGTTTATAATTTGAAAGGTATTAATTTGTATTTTTTATAAATAAAATAAAATATAGGAATTTAAGGTTTTTATGCTGGATTCGGCACTATGATATTAAGAGATATTCCTTTTAGTATGATTCAACTTCCTGTATATGATTTATTGAAGTAAAATAGATAATAGAAAAAAATCTAGGAGACTAAATAAAAAACTTTATCTTTTTCAGAAAGTTGCTTTTGCGGAGGAACAGCAGCTGCTTTAGCCTCTTTTTGTACTACTCCTATGGATGTTTTAAAAAGTAAATTAATGACTTAGAGAGATAATTATTATAAAGGGTTTATTGATGTATTTTAAAAAACCATATAGGATGAAGGGCCTAGAGGACTGTTTAAAGGTGTTCTATATAGGGTCTTACCTTTTTCTTTTACTGGAACTATCTTTTTTACAGTTTATGAATAAACTTAGAATATAATTAATAGAAATTTCTATTGAATTTTTTTTTGATTAAATTAATAATTTATATTTTAAAATATAATTTGTATATTAATATTAAATATTTTTTTTTTTTTTTCTTGTATAGCTATAGTCTTCGCCTTATCAATTTTTCAAATTTATAATAACACCAGAGTAGAGGATCACCGCATAGAGGTAATTCGAATTGACATCATAGGCTATTTGATTTAGCTCGTTTTCGCTAGGTGTTAATACGGCATAAACCACATCTTTACAGGCATAATCCTAGTTAACTGCCGTTTATTCTAGTGTTAAATTTCCACTTTTTACTCCTTTTAGAAGGGTTTCTTATTTGTATTTTTTTTTTTTTTTATTTTTATAAATTAAATTAAAAAAATGAAATTTTTTTTATTATTAATATTATTGTAAATTATATTAAGTTTTTAAAAAAAAATACTTTTTATTACTTAAGAGTATTTAATAGGAAAAAAATGTTATTCATATCCTTCATATTTAAATTATTTATTAAAAAAGGAATATGATTAATACAAAGAAATTTTACCAGATTAAATAAAATATGGGTTTTTTTAATTAAAAAATATATCATTTATATTAAAAAAGGGATATAAATAATTACATAATATAATATAAAATCGGTGAAGGAAAATTTTCAGATGTTTATAAAGGTTATAATATAAAGGAAAAAGATAAACCTGTAGCAATAAAAATATTAAGACCAAATGATTTTTAGAAAATATATAATGAGATAATAATTCTTTAATAAATATAAAATATATAAAACGCCTTAAAATTAATTGAAGTTGTTATACATAAAGAAACTTTAGTTCCTTGTTTGGTAAAGAATATATTTTATGTTAAATGTATATTTTTTAGTTTAGATTTTAGAATATATTGAAGGAGATACATTAGATAAAATAATACCAAGATTAAATGAAAGAGATATAAGATTTTATTCATATATACTTTTGGAAGTATATTTATTTTATAAATATTTATTTATTTTTAAAAAAAGACAATTTAGAAAATTCATTAATTAGGTATTATACATAGAGATATTAAATTTGAAAATATTATAATAAATCATGAAAAAAGAAAATTAAGAATAGTAGATTGGGGACTCTCTTCAAAATATTAACCAGAAAGGCTAATGAATAATAGAGTTATTTATTTTTTATTTACTAATAAATAATTTAAAAAAATAAAGGTCGGTACTGTTGCCTTTAGAGCTCCTGAAATGCTAATATAATAAAATTTTGAAGGACATTTTAGTCCTGCTATAGATATTTGGGCGGCTGGTGTATGTATAAGTGGAATGGTAAATAATATTTTTGTATTAATAAGATTAAAAAAATGTTTATTATATAGATGTTTAATAGTGATTTTTTATATGAATTAAATGAATATGAACATATATTTAAAAATGTAATAAATTTTTTTGGTTATAAAGAAGTTTTTAAAGTTTCTTCATATATGAATATAAATATTAGTAGTAAAATAATACAAAGTATAAACATAAAGTAAAATTAAAAAAAGAAACATTTTATATAATTGTAATTTTTTTCTAGATTATTTGCAATTATATATATTAATAATTTTTTTAGTTTTTATTGATATTAAATATATATATATGTTTTTATATAATTTTTAATATATATTAAAAAATATTATATTATAAACTATATACTATTTAATACATTTAAATTTTAAATTAAAGAAATAAATAACAATAAAGTTTTTAAAAGAATATCAAAAAAGAAGAAGAAAAATATTTTTCAAAAGAAGGATTTGATTTATTACAAAAAATTCTTAAAATAAATCCAGTAAATAATATATATATATATATATATATATATATATATATATATATATATATATATATATATATATTTATATATATATATATATAAATATGAATCTCATTATCTGCATTTTTTTAAAATTGATTTTAAAAAGGATATATTTCAATTTTTATTATTATATTCTTTTTTTTCGTCAATTATTTTATTTAAAATAGTGTAGAAAAACTAATAATGTGTTTAAAAATTATATTTTATTGTTTTTTTTATTTTTATTAAAATATAATTAAGATGGAAAGAATTAATGCATCAGATGCTTTAAATCATAAATACTTTCTGAAAATAAAAGAAATAGTTTAAAAATATAATAAAATAAATTACTAGTGAAAAATATTAATTGGAATTTTATTATTTTTGTTTAAATTTTTAATTATAAAAATAAAATATATAATTTTTTTTTTATTCTATTAATTTAATTTTCTTTTTATGTTTTAACTATAAAATAAATAAATTTATTTAAATATTAAAAAATTCAAAAATTTATTTGTTTTTATTTATTAAAAAAAATTAAATTTTAGTTTAATAATAATTTTGTAAATAAAAATGTCGTTTTTAAATATAAAATTTTAATTTACAATAATAAATTAAAAAATTTCATTATTAATTAATAATTTCTTTATATAATTTTTTTTTTATTATATATAATAGGTTATAATGATATATAATTATTAAAAAATTTATATTTTACAGTTTTTTTCTTTAATTTAATTAATAATTAATTTATTTTATTTTAAATAAAAAAATATAAATAGGGTAAAATAAAATCATATTTTTATTTATAAATTTATTGAAAAAATAAACAATTTTATTAATTAAAATTTAAAAATTCAATATATATTTAATTGCCTTTTTTATAATTTGAATTATATCAAAATATAATAAGGGATAAACAAAAAATTCATTTATTTAATTAATAAAGGGTTTATAATAAATAGTTTTTTTATGTTAAATATTAATTTAATTTAATTATATAAATATACAAAGAAAAAAAAAAATACTAAAAAAAAAAAAAACTTAAGTAAATTATATAAAAGCAATTAAAATATATAGCAATATACTAAATGGAATATGAAAATACTCAATATTAACTAAAAGATAATCAATACTCATTTTTTAGCAATTTAAAAACAACTGGTATTTATTTATTTTTATTTATTTAAAAAATAAAAAATTATAGATGAAAAAATAAATATTAATTTTTTTTTTTATTACATAAAATATAGAAAACAGATCATATACATTTTAAAAATTACATTCTGAATTCGAAATTAATCGTAAAAATAATTAAAAAAACAGTGACAAAAGTACAAATGACGCAATTAGTATATAAAGTTAAATAATATAATAAAAACCTTAAAATTAATGTACATTTTAAATGATAAAACCTATATAACTGGATACGAAATATTACCTAATAGGTGATATTTCGATTGATTTTGAACTTTTGAAAGGGGTGGAGAGTAGATTTTCACCTCTTTCTTAATTTAGGGTTGTAAATAGTGTTGAAATAGATATTTTTAATTAAATAGTTCATGTAAATTTAGATTAAAATTAATAAGGATTAAGGGATTTTCAAATGATTATTTCTTAATTGAATTCAATGGGGGATTAAATTTGCCATTCAATGGCTTTATTGCTGAAAAAATATCAAAAGTTTGTCGATTTTAAGACGAAAATGCATAAAATATATCATACAAGTGGTTGTTAAAAAATATAAAAAATATAAGAATAATAACTTTGGAATGAGGCTTAAGTGAAGATTAAATAAATTATCATCGAAAAAAAAAAGATGATAAATACATAGCATATTTTGTTAAAAAAGGATATTATTTGGAAGATGTTATGGTTGCTTAAGGGTATTCTTAATAACTTCTAAATATTTTAGGACTTAGTTGTGAAAAATTTAAATAAATTACACTAAGAAAAGGCCTTTTAGACTTTATGGATTGTTTATAAAGATATTATATTATAATTATTGAGTAGTTTTAAAATTGTTAAGAATAGGATTCAATGATGGGTTTAGAAAATATTAATTTAATTACTTTGGATAATTTTAAAATTCCAGTGCAGCTATAAGCGGAAAAAATAGTAATTAATAAATGCAAAAGCATAGAAAATTATATTGGGTTTATGAAAGTTCTTATAAGTGATAATACACTAAATGATTTAGAATTAAATAGAAAAAAAATAGTGGAAGAGGAATAATAGGCTTTAGAGGAGGATTTAAGTTATAATTTATAATCAGAAGTCTTTATTGAGAAATACTATCCGTAAACTTATATTTTATTGAAAAATTAAAAGAGTTAATAAAAATAATAATAAAATGAAGGAAAATATTACAAAATAAAAAAATGAAAAATTTTGAAATAAAGATAATATAATTTTTTTAAGAAAAACTTATGTAAATTTAATTTAATTTAAAGATTTTTTTTTTTTTTTTTTTTATATAAAAAAAAATAAAAGAATATTTAAAGAGATTATTTTATTGCTTTCTCTCAGCTTTTTATTTTTTTAGATAACCTTTTTTATTTTATTTCAATTAATTAATATCTGTATATAGAATTATTTACTTTAAATGATATGAGTTAATAAAACTATTTTAATATATAATAATAATAAGAAAAAAATGAATTATTTTTTTATTTAATATATATAATTAATTTATATTTTCATCTTTACAAAATAATTAATATTTTTTTTTTTTTTTTCGATAAAAAACTATAAATTAATATATTTTTTTGTTTCTTTGTTTTAAAAAAAAAATTCACCTTGTGTATTTATCTATTACATTTTAAATTTCTCCCATTTAATATATATAATTATATATTTTATTTTGCCTTTACAAAAATAAATTTTTCTATCAAATTTAAATTATTTTCCTTTCATTAATCAAAAATTTAATTAATTAAATATAATAGACATAAGATATATTTATTTTATTAATTATTTATAATAAACAAAACAATTTTTTTTTTTTTTTTTTTAAATAGCGAAAATTAAATTTATAAAATAAAGTCTATCAATTTTTAAAAGTATTTATTAAAATATAGCAGAATTATTATATTAAATTCTAAAAAAAAAAAAAGTACTTTACATATGTTTATTTTATGAATATATTTTTATAAAGTAAATATGAGAAAAAAGTAAATAATTAATACATATTTTATTATTGTAATGATTTATTTAATATTTAAAAAAATGAATTTTTTTTATATTATTTATTATTAATGGATATAAATGTATTTCATTTTTAAAAATTTTAAAAAAACTTTATAATTGCTATTATTAAATTTCATATTTATAATAAAATAAAAATTTATGATATAATTATAAAATTAAGGAAAATATCATATATTAAAAAAATAAAAAAAAATAAAAAAATTAGAAGTTTGTATATATATTTATTATAAAAAATGATAGTTTTTTATTATTTCTTTTGTGTAATTAGAATAAAATTAAAAAAAAATAGACTTTTAAACAATAATTTATCAAATTAAAATACAGTAAAAATAATTAAATTTTAAAGTCATATATATATATATATATTTTACTTATTTAGTTGTATAATATTTATTTATTTGACAAAAAACAAAAAACAAAAATTATATAAAAATTTCAATTCCTAAATAACTAATTAGAAATTTATGAAGAATTTATCCCAAACCCACCTTTTTTAGTAGTTAAAAGAGATTTAGCATCTAAAATTTTATTATTAATTTTCGAATTATTCATACTGTTATTATGTACATTATTCAGATTATCCTATTATATTTTTTTCGCTTTTCTTATATTATTAACAACAAAATTAGTATTATTATGTCGCCAATTAGAAGTAACATCAACTCCTAATTTATTATCGATTTTCGAATTCATAAAAGCTGGTGGTTTATAATTAGGTATTATCCCTTTAATTTAGTATGACCTTTTTTTTTGAAAATAACATAATAATTAATAATTATTATTATTAAATAATTTTATTTTTTTTCATTACCAATACATGTCTTCAGTTTCTATTATTAATTTAGCATTTTTATTTTGTCCATATTATATTGGTTAGAAACAAATATTAAATGTAGTTCCTTCTCTACCGTAAGGTTCAAGAATTCCAGAAATAGGAGAAACAGAAAATTCGGAATCACTTTCAGGCGTAAGTTTAGCAACAAATTAAGCATATGTCTTATATCTGTTTGTTAATTTAAATTATATTTTGTCAATATTTTCTATTAATGAACTTAAAATTATTATATCATCTTCATTTGGAGTAAGACTTTCTAATTATATTTTAAACCTTTTTTTTATATTATTATTAAATATTTAATTATATATTACTTCCATTAACCGCCAATTTTCTATTTATTATTAAATATATAAATGTCTTAAATGGCTTCATAGGATGAAAATTACATTAAAATATTAATTAATCATTATTTGATTAAAGTTAATTTTTTATCATTTTAATATTTAAAGAATTTTCAATGATATGTTTGTATTATTATGGGATCTATATATATATATATATATATATATATATATATATATATATATAAATAATTTATTTATTTTAAATTAAATTTACATTTTTAATTTCAAAAGTAAATGTATCATTATCTCCTTATAATTAACTAATACCAGGTAAAGAAACTTTAAGTTCGTTTTACATCATAATTCTACATTTAGTTTTAAATGTAGCCAATACACAATTAGAACTCAATTCTACATAAAATAAACTAATATATGTATATTTATAAATAAATTTACAAGTTGATGCATGTATAGGATATCGCCATTTAATATTATCATTCATTTAAACTACTATATTGGCCTCATAATATCTAATTTATCTTGGTGTGAAACTAAAAGGTATTTAAACTTATGCTTAGCCTTAAGCAATAATAGTTAAATCTTATTATTATTATTATTATAATAATTATTATTATTATTATTATTATTATTATTATTATTATTATTAATATTTTTTCTATAAAAGTTATATTACTCCAATAGATTCTTTATCTGTATATTCTAAATACACTTTAACTTATATTTAATCTCTAAACGGATTTTTGAAAATTATATAAGACGAGAAATCTTAATCCAATCCTACAGTGACAATTTTTGGTTCAAAACAAGTCGGCGGAATTCCTATACCGAAAGCCAAAAACTGCCATTTGCCAATATTTTCTGTTTCAAAAGTTATTTAAGAAGTTTAAGTTTTATCCAAAATAGAAGGCATATATTTTATAAAGACCGAAACTTCTTCATTTGCTGGAATTATAATTTAATCAGGAATAACATCGAAATTTGTCTTATTAGAGATTATAACTTCAACTTTAGTATCGTAATTTGATGGATTTTCTAACCTAACTTCTTGTTGTTCTACTTTTCCGAGTTCTGCTTTTAATAAAGGAAGCCTTACAGTCTAAGAATCATCAGCTATAAGGTTTAATTCATACCAAATTTCACCTATTTCTTCTGAAACGAAATTTATAGAGCCTTATTATTTCCCTGCTTTTAATGGCAGGAAAAAAAGTTCGTATTAACTCACTTATTTAGGTTAAAGAGAGAAATAAGAATTACCAATAAGACCTTTCCCTTCTATAAAACTTCAAAACTGACATATTCATTAGTAGGATAGACAATTGATTTCAAAGCATCGCCTTTCTCAAAAAGTTATCATGTCTATTTTTTTTTAACTCGGAGGACATTAAGTATTTAACAACGCCGTCCACCATACATACTCTTAAGTTTAAGGGTCTGTAAACGTTATACTCCCAGTATATTAACCACTTAATAAAGGCATTATATTTAATACATACACACCTTTCTTACCTGGACCAATAGTAATAGACGGAAGACCAGAAGCACCTACTAAATCAGTTTCTATTTCATATGTAATAGGACGGTCTGTATATGGGTTTTTTAATGCTAATTCTTATTTAGTAAGTTTTCGGGCTTAGCAATTGATAACTAAATGATCAACAGTTAATGGCTCTTCGCCTATTCCGAAAATTTAGTACTCGTAAACTTCACCCGTTGTCAAATTTTAAAGAGTCAAGTGAGCTTCCGCTGTGTATATCCAAAGAGGGGAAAATTAAATTTGTAATATGGAGGTTGATTTTTTTTTTATTAGCAATCTTTTATATCTTTTGGTAGCTATAAAAGATTTGATTAGGTTTATTTAACTAATTATATTAATATATATATATATAAAAATATTAAAAATATAATTATAATATATATATATTTATTTATATATTTATATTACTTTATATTAAGCTTATCGTTTTTCCGTTTTTTTCTTCGTTTTGTAAAAAATGAACTTTTATATTCCAGTCTCTTTCAGTGTAGTTTTATATAGGAATATCTTGACTTATAGTTTCTTTTGCAGGACATTTAATTTCAAGGATTGCTTGGATTGGTTTAGGTTGACTTTAAATGACTAGTTTATATAGCCTTATATCAGATTTTTCAGGATTTTTTAATGTTATTAAAGCTGTATATTCTTTTATAGGCTATTTGAATGCAAAATTAAAATTTAAAACATTTTTTTCTAATTCTTCTAAATCTTAATTAGCTAATTAGTCCATATTGGATATGTTTTCAATGATTTTCTTACTTTCGATACTGGAAACATCGTTATTTTTTTATAAAACTTAGGAAGTAGCAGCTGAAGCTTTCCTTTTGGCAACCACTAAGGGGTTTATAATTGTGAGAGTTTTTGCAATTTAAATACAATCAGCCGGTTGTTATATTTATACATAGAAATTTATTAAATCAGGTGATATATTAGGCAATGTATATTTTTTATTCTATTAGCCTTCTTTTTTTTTTCTTTCATATAGATGATATTCGACCAATTTTCGAGCTGCCTTTAATTTTTCGTTTCTAAAAGGAATTTTATATTACCAGTTTTTTTGTTCCTCGACATATATAGGAGGTAATTCTGGTAATTAAATAATTTCTTCAGGCAGTTTTACTTTTCCAATTATTTCATATTAAAATTCACCAACATTCGGATCTGAAAAAATAATGTAGCATTTCTAATTTTCATATACTAAAGGGATAAATATTAATTATAGATGCAAAGGGACATTTTTTTTTACACGAATTTTTTCTGAGTTTTTACAGAAAAAAGATGGGACGCAATTTAGGATTTCTTAAGGGAGAAGTTCGTCGTTTTTTGTTGCTTTTTTAACTGGATTAGGATTGCTTTGAGTTTATTTAGTCTCCCATTCATGTAAGATGGTTACAAGGAAGTCTGCGTGGTCAAAGCGAGTGAATTTATTCTCGACTTTTATGATGAATTCTTTTTATTCATAAAGAACAGACTCTACTTCTTCAATTTTTTAAGAAACTCGGCCTATTATTTACGATTTTAGGTCAAATACTAGTGTTTAGGCGGCTACATTACTTTCTCGTTTGTTCGTGAAGCGAATCCGACCGGTTACAGGAACAGATACACGAGAAACAAACTTTATATTGAAGGGATAAGTCTCAGTAGGTTCTAATTTGATGTTATCAGTTTCCATTTAAAAATCAGGAGATCCTATATATTTGACCCAATAATTAATGGGTTTTTTCGTATTGTTTTTTAATTCAATTATATGATTTATTTCTTACCCTAAAATACAACTGAATATTATAGGATTTTCTTTAGGTATATAATTAGGAAGAGTATTTAATAAATGAACTAAAAGAAGGAAAATCTCCCTTTATGAAGGTTTAGATATATCTAAAGGTAGAAAAGGTGTTTAGAGATTAATTTCTTATAATGCTTAATAAATTTTTGTACAGTTAAAAAATCTTTCATCATCATTATTTGTTTAAAGTTTTAATCCTTAGAACATCTAAGCATATATATATATATATATAAATATAAATAAAAACTTAATATATATTATTTACTTATTAAGTATAGTCTGTTCCGAGGTAATTTTTAATTAATCCAGATAAAATATGGCCTGAGGAAATTTCTTGGTCTAGATTAATTATTCGGTAAGGGATTTAAATTTATTAATTAATTATTTCTTCATTTAATTCAAGCCATCTGAATAACATTCCTTCGAATTAACTATAGAAATTACTACCTATAATATAAGAAGAGGGCAAAGTGGCATTTTCTTGCTGTAAATTTGGTATTGTTTTGATTTATTTGAAGTTAATTCTTTATAAATAATAGATTTTAAGAATTTAATAAAATAGAGTAATCCAACTATCTGTACAAAAATACGTATATTTATGCTAAGAAAGTTTACCCATTGTCTAATGTAAAAACTATATTTCTTCTTTTCCTTAACTTTTTAAATAAACATTATATTCATTATACCCCAATAAAAACTAAGGCCTAATATGGTTTAAAAGAGCACCATCTTATTTCAATAGTCTAATAAGAGAATCGTATTATTAAAAGAGAAGATTCACGATTTATGTTCTATTGCAAGTAGTTGGGATATTAACTTTAGTTTATATTAAAGGGGATTTTTAACCTGCTAAAAAGATCAATAAGTCATATAATTATTCACCGTTATTTTCTATTATACTTTCGGGAAACTACTATATATTATTCGTCAATACATTAAAGTTAAGCCATCTTTTAATCACATCTTTTGAAAATTCCATAGCCTCTTTCGGAACAGGAGAGTAGCCCAAAGCACTTCGTGTGCTTTTTGAACTAGCTCTCGAAGAGTGTGTTT